GACGTCAACAATGGCTCACTAGTGGCTGATAATGGCCGCTGACGTCTACCAATAAAAGTGTGCGTACCATCATGCCTCCCTCAACACAACACTACTAACCACGTCCCAGCGCGTTCGTCACTAACCCATGCACCGATCGGAGATAGCAGTTGTTGGGCACAACACACATCCTTACTGATGCCTTCCGCTCACGTTTCATTGCAAAGACGACTTCCTTCTCATACACTTCTTCAGCACGCGCATACTAGAGTACCCCTCGGCGGTCGTGCTGATAGATACATGCCAAGTGAACTAAGAGGGGGTCGACAACGTCTACAACGGGTTCTTCGCGTAGCTCTCCCTCGCATTCCTCATAATCACGCTTCTTTTATTGTCTTGTACTGGCTGACCCTGCCCCATAGTCAGAAGGTTCACTATCGGAGAAGTCCATGCGTGCGCACGAGTAACTAATGACGTCACACAGGTCGGGCAATGCCGCTGTCACTCTCCCCTTCTAAGCATGTGTGTTTTCTTGACCTCTCTCCCTGTTCGCACTCGCCCTATATAACCTCTTTTCTTCGGCACCTCCTTTAAAACAGTCCCTCCTTTCTCCGTGCATGTCAACCAGCATGCTACCGTGCTAATTCTGGAAACGTCGTTCCCAAATGTGTGCACAACCCTCCTCGTCTGCTCGCTTGAGACGTTTGCACACTCTAAGAGCCTTTGCGCAACAGCCAACTAGATCGATGGTCGAGAGTTCGTTCTCCCCATCACACAGGCAAGACTCGAGATGACCAGAGTTCGTCCCAGACACGCTGTCGTCACGAGACGAACTCTGGTCACACGACTTTTCTCCGTGTATGCATTGGCCAGCACACCGTCATGCTAATCCCGCACAAATTGCAAGGAGCGCGAGAGAAGATCCTTCCGTCCCCTCGCTTATACCGATGGTCCCTAACTCAAAGAATGTGTGCATGTCCAAGCTTCTGACGAGACGAGAGGCGATCTGCAAGCACCTGGTAAGCTACCAACGCCACACGTCACAAAACTGATCCCCGTCTTCTCTCTTCGCATCTGACTTCAGCGCGTACTCTCTCTCTCTCTCGTAGCCGTTCGCCCCTTTCACGCCCTTCACCATTGAGCTGGCTTTCCTTGTATACACTTCGTCGGTATGCATGCGCTGGAGCGTTCCTTGAAAGAGGTCGGGCTGATAGGCATATGCTGCATGATCGGAGAGAAGGCTGAAGATGTCCCTTTTTTCCGAGCAGCGCTCGTCTCCACTCCTACTTCTTTTTTCCGAGCATCGCTCGTCTCTCACGTCCCTCCTTCGATCTTGACCTGCCCGCATCTCCCTCTCTCTCTCGTAACCGGTTCTCGCAAGTTGACCCGTGTCCCTCAGTCTAGCGGCTCCGGTCCCTTCATTGTCGCGAGTTGGCCTCTGGGCCACTTTCCACAGGCTCGGCGGGTGGGTGGTCTCGCCGCCACTAGGCCAGTGCATGCCAGGACCGGGTCCGGACCTCCCGGTCACTCTCCTCACTCTCAGCTTCTGTGTCGCGGTCCAGGTGTTGTTGCTCCCTCTCTATAGTGTCCGTCGAGGTCTCTCCCTCCAAGTATTAGACAGTCACCTTCATTTCGTCCGTAACCGCGTCCCGTCTGCACCTCCTCTCAGCCCCGTCCTTTGCCTTCGTGATGGCCCCCTGCAATCCCTGGTCCGCTCTCATTTCTTCCTCTTTCCCTCCTTCCACATTTATTTTCAGCCTGACCTCTTGATTGCAGCGGCTGTAGTCCAGGACGACGGTCACCATCGGGCCTTCTCCTGACATTCGCTCCCACCTCCAGAGGAACTGGAGGTACCTTGGCATGTACCCATATAGACCGTTGCTGCGCATCATTTTGAGCCCTCCTACAGCGCAAGTCGCCAGGCTACCAGCTTCCAAAACAGCCCGGATTCAGCACTCGGCACCTATGCACGTAGACGGACTGCCTCACACTCACTCAGTCGCTCGGCCCCCCTCACTTCTGCCCGCTAGTACTTGGCGCAACGAGCCTGTCCATGTCCCAGCAGCCTAAGGCTCGCCTCCCTCACTCTTTATAGGTTCGCCACAGCTCGTGCCTCGAACAAAGTACTCAGGTGAATTTCAAAATTGCATTTCAGCGATATGTAAGATTCAGAAAATAATAAAATAGAATAAAATAAATTAAAGCGAGAAAGTGAGAGGTCGAACCTCAAAGGTCATGACATAGGCTGGCCACTCTGCTATCAGTCACTAGTCTCTACATTTTCGATATGAACTGACTACACGCTCATCGTTGTGGTCCCATAACGGGACAGGGGCGGACGCGCCCTTCCTTTCAAAAGATGTCAACGGGCTACCTCTCATGAGTAGCCGTGTCCGATGGTAAGGAGGGGGCTTATGACCTTCCATGGAAGGTCATGAGCTTCCTACCAACGCGGCCGCGGGTGGTCCTATTTTGAGGACCCCCGACGCGGTACTCAGCAATTCATATTCCCGGTAAGCGAAGCGTGGAAAGCTAGGTCGACCTAAGTCGCTCACTCGCACTTGCAGTTCGAAAGCGAACCGTTCGCTCCCCCCCAGGGGGCAGGAGAACCAGCATTGAAAACCACAGTCTGAAACGCCACCACCCCTTGTCACCTCAATTTTTTATTTTCCTTCCCCCCTTTTCTTTTACGATCGTGACAGTTGTCCCCTATGTCTCCCACAACTCGGTCAGAAGAAACTTAGTGCGCGACATAATGGTCCTCGCTACAACCTTCACCTTCGCACCCCGGGGTAAGCCCGACAGTCACCTCGGCCACAGGCTGGCAGCACTGCACCTACATGGACGATAGGGAAATCCAGCGACGCACTCCCGCCAAGGCAAACACCGACTGGACATGTCTGTGGCAGTGGAACCGGGTTACACGTGGTACGGCTTAGTGGTTCACTAGCAGCAACAGGTACAACGAGAAGTCGGAGCAACTAGTACACCCGCAACGGATTCCCGAGCAGGCTCCCAGTGTGCTTCAGAATCTGAGCAAGGAGTTGGTACGCCGCAGAGATAAATGACGGAACGCCTGGTACACAGCGAGAGGTAGGTGAACGGGCGCCTGGTATGCAGCGGAGGGCCGGGACACCGCGCCCTCCGACAACGGGCGCGTTCTATGTCCACACGGTAACGCCTGGTGAACTCTGCAGTTCTAGGTGTCAATGTACGGGTAACCTTATCGATGATGTCATCAAGAGGCTGCCGTGGCTCACGACCCCAGTGCAACCGGTAGGGTGTCAAGCACAAGTTGTGCAGGACTCAAGTGGAGATCCCAGTCCTGTTGGTCTGGACTGCTCATAGGACGCAGCAGCTGAAACAAAATCTGGTTCATCACTCAGCCTGACCATTGGCTTCAGGATGACAACCAGATGTCATATTCAGGCGAGAATGAAGGTAATCCCTGCAGTAGGATTGCCATTCATTGTTGCAAAACCTGGGATCTCGGTCACTGACAATAGAGGTGGGTGGCCCATGATGTGTCAGCAAATGCCGCCTGAACGGTTGGAACGCGAGCCTCAGCTGGTAAGGGGATGAACTCTGCATATTTGGAGAACCGGTCCACAAATACCATGACCTGACGCATCCCACGAGGAGTGGTCCTACTTAAGTCAATAAAATCAATGGACATTGACTGTGCAGGAGCATCAGGGGTAGGTAGTGGTTTGAGTAGGCCAAGGGGAGGTCGGCATACCACCTTATTCCTTTGGCATAACTCACAGGTTTCCACATAGTGCAACAGGTCACTCCTCATCTCCTTCCAGAAGAAGCGTTGCAGCAGGGCTGCATACGATTTGAGGGCTCCAAAGTGACCACGAGCATCATGACACTCTGACATCATAAGTGTTCTCAGCTTGCGGTTCTGAGGAATGCACATGCGTTCCTCTCCTTTGTTGCAAGTATACAGCAGGTCTGAAACCAGAGTATATCCTGGTTGAGGTGCAGGATCATCCTGGAGATTCCTTACAATAGACCCAAAAATCGCATCCTGGGGCAGCAAATGGTCAATGGTCTGACGAGTCTTCTCTCCAAAAGAGTGGGTGAAGGAGATCAGAAAGAGAGCGTCAGGCCTACGAGAGAGGGCGTCAGTTACTCAATTGTAGCAGCCCTTCTTGTGTCTCAGTTCAAAGTCAAACATGTTAATGAACTGAATGTAGCGAATAAGCTTGTCGTTCAGTTCTCCCTGGGACTTCATCCACTGCAGAGTGGAGTGATCTGAGAAGATCTCGAAGTGCCTACCCAGGAGGAAATGTTTCCAATGCTTGAGCGCTGACACAAGAGCATAAAGCTCTTTCTCATAGGTAGAATCCTGCAACTTCCTTGTTTTGATCTTCTTGCTCATCTACTCGACAGGCTGCAGACCACTCCCATCATCCTGTTGAAGTACCGTCCCTACACCATACTGACTAGCATCAGTGGTAAGCACAAAAGGCAAAGTAGGGTCAGGTAGCTTCAAAACAGGGGCACAAATCAAGGCCTCCTTGAGACGTGTGAAAGCCTCCTAACACTTAGATCTCCAAAGAAAGGAAGTGTCTTTCTTTGTGAGGTCAGTCAGAGGTGCTGCAATAGAAGAGAAGTTCTTGATGAACTTCCTGTAATAGGCTGCAAGACCCAAGAAAGACCGGACATCACGGATGTTCACAAGCTTCGGCCAGTCCTGAACAGCAGCAACTTCTGTTGCCTCAAGAGCCAACCCCTCTTCAGAAATAACATGACCCAGGTAGATTACAGAGGGAACTCCCAAAAATGACTTCTCCCTGTTGATCTTATACTGGTTATCACGTAAGGTCTGGAGGACCAGAGCCAGATGTTGCGCATGCTCCTGAACAGAACGACTGAATACTAGAATATCATCCGAGTAGACAACTACAAACTTGTCCAGGTAAGGCCTGAGTATGCGATGCATCTATGCCTGAAAGGTGCCTGGGGCACTGCAAAGACCAAACGACATGATCAGGTACTCATAAGTGCCATACCTGGTCTTGAAGGTTGTCTTGTGGACATCGCCTTCGACCATCTCAATCTGGTGATACCCAGATTTGAGATCGATCTTGCTAAAAATGGTACACCCCTGCACCATGTCCAACAAATCATCAATGTGAGGAAGAGGCTTTGTGGACTTCCTCGTGATTTTGTTGAGACCTCTGTAGTCCACGCACATTCTGAACTCACCATTCCCCTTTGGAACAAAGAGGACTGGTGCCCTAAATTCAGATGTGTTGGGCCAGATCTAGCCTTTGCTGATCACGGTCTCCAACTGTTTCCTGAGCTCATCAAGTTCAACAGGTGACATCCTGTAGACTCGGCCCTTGGGAGGGACCGAACCACGCAGGATCTCAATCTTATGTTTAATCTGCCTATGGACAAGTCCAGTAGGCTCCTCCATAAGATATGAGAAGCGGTCAACAACCTGCTGAATTTGAGAGGGAGAGGGAGCAGTTTCCACATCAGTCTGTTTGGCATAAGCCACGAACAGACGGGTGTGGTCAGTCTGGCGCGGGAAACGCACAAATCTGCGAGCACTCATGCAGTAACAGTTGTTGGCCGGATGGTACTCATCCGCGAGCATACAAGGGCAATAAACCCCATGCCGGTCAAGTAGCTCAACCCTAGGGATCCGCCAGTCGATCCTAGGATTGGTGGCACCAAGCCACTGCATAGAGAAGACAAGGTCAAAGGGAACGTTAGGAAACACGTAAAAATTCAGGAGGTGTCTGATTTCTCCCTACTTATCAAAGGTCACAGGTAGGTCTTTGACAACAGTCATGATCCTGATTGTGGAAGAGTCAACATGTGAACCTCTATAGGCTGTCGCAATTTCGCTAATCTATGATCCAGGTGTTGTTTGCTGACTGCCTTGGGAGATATGAAGTTGCGAGTAGCTCCATAGTCTAAGAGCCCTTTGATCTTGGCTCCTATGATGGAGGGTCGAAGCAGGATGAGTTCTGACCGGTCCTTTTTCTTTTCCTGCAAGGACATGAAAAGATCAGCCAAACACTAATCATCATCCTCCTCCCAAGTCTCATCCAACTCAAAGTCTTCAAAAGTGAAAGACCCTGAAGATGCAACTCCAAGAACAGAAGAACCAGCGAGAAAATGTGAAGACTCACCTTCATCACAAAGTGAATCAGCACTGGTGGAAGGAGCTGCTGCTTCCACCTCTCCCTGCTGTAGATTTTTAAACTAGAGCTGCCTGGAGACCTGCGAGGCATGCTGGGACAGTCCCTTAAGAAGTGCTCCCCCTCGCACCTCAGGCAGACACCCTTGTCCTTTCTCTTCCTCCAAACCCCCTCCTGGATTCTGAGTGCATGCGAGGGGAAGGTGGAAGGATCAGGGGGGTCAGTTGGCCAGCAGACATCGTGTGGTAGTGGTACTTTCTGGGCACCAGGGAAAGAGGCACGTCCCTTACCTTTCCCCTTGCTGCTGGTTGATGCTTTCTGGAATGGGGCTTTGCCCTTAGTCAGGCCCATCAAAGCAGCAGCTAGGGCAAGAACAGCAGGATCTGCAGTAGACGAGGAAGCAGTCCCAGATCGAGGGGTCCCACCTTGGGATGCTGCATCGCTATCCGAACTGGAAGTTGCAGGAGCAAACAAGGCACCCTGCCTCCTTCTTCGCCCCTTTGAGGAGGGTCCCTTCCTTCCTTCAGAAGGTGCTTCCTGGACATGGAGTTCGGATTCTAGGTCCAGGGCTGCTCTGCAAAAGGACCACCAATCCTGTGGCCCTGAGAGAATAATGCCAGCTGGTATTGCTCAGGCGCTGCACGTAAGAAATAAATGAGCAAATCCTGCTCACTCATCTCTAACCCTGGAGTCGATGTCAGACTCTCAAAGGTAGAATAGAGTTTGGACAAGGAGCCATCAAATTTCTTTTGGCCCAGGCGCATAATTTTGTCTGTTGCCTTCCTGGCCTGCTCCTTGTCTGCAAACCTATCCTGCAGGGCCTGCAAAAAACCAGCCACCCCCAACCTCTGTGCCCAATCCGCCATTTCCATACCTTGCTTGCTGGAGGTAGAGGTGCACCATTTCAGTGAAGTCCTCTCCAGACGAGCAAGGATGGTAGACACCTTCACATCCTCACCGCATTTGAACCCACTCAGGTAGGTTCTTTGTGCAGTTACCCAATCTGCAACGTCCACCTTTGGGTCCTCACCAGAGAACATGGGTGGAGGGGTCAGCTTGAGCCGCTGCATATAAAATGGGTTGGAGGGTTGAGAAGATGCAGGGGAGTTGGGTATAGAGGGAGGAGATGTGGGTTTGGATTGTGAGGGCTGCTAAGTGTCTGCTTGAGAAGGCCCAGGAGAAGGAGGAACGCTCAAAGTGGTTGGGATCTTCAAGTGAGTGAAGATCAGATCCAGTTTAGAAGAAATGTCATCCAGCTTCTTCGGAAAAGTTGAGTGACTGTTCTCCAAACTGGTGATCCTCTTATCCCAGTTAGTAAAATAAGAACAGTGAATATCATCCTGTAAAAGGATGAATTCGGCCATGTCCTTATTGTACTGGTTGGATGTACCACTAGTCCTGACCTTTTCTACATTTGCAATTAGCAACTTTCTCCTGGCCTCCTTCTGCGTTGCTTCTTCTTTCCTCTTAAGCTCAGCCTTTAGAGCCTCAACTGCTTGGGCCTGTTGGCGGAGTTTCTCCTCATGGGCCCGCAATTCAGCCTCTAAAGGGTCAAGCGGAATCTGAGGCTTCACATCAGAAGCCTCTCCCTTCTCAGCATCAACCATTTTAATTTGTCCCACAATTCAGATAAAATAAAAACAAACAAATAAACAAAGACGGACAGGAGGTAACAAGAATTGGATTTTTTCTACAGTACTCGTCCAATTACTGCCACCTGACTGAAGAGAGAAAGTTGGTTAGTCCGAGCAAGTGAATGTTCAGTCTCTGCAGACCACGTGAGGGTCAGGGTTAGTTAAGAGTAATCTCAGCAAAAACCAATTTCATGATTTTCCAATCCCTGCCCTGACACATCAATTGCATGCAGTAATTGCAAATCCTGCCTCAATCGATTGCAGGATGTAGTCCTGGACTGATTAGTAGAGATTAAAAGTTAGGCAGAGTGACTTATTAGAGGTAAGCAGGTATCCACTGATGACCAAGATGCAGCAATATACAAGAAATCCTACTTTTAGACCTACCCTGAAGACTTCACCACTGTATGACCCTGTATGCCATACCTTGGGTATGACGAATTACAGTTTTCACTGTAGCTGACTCATAACATCAAATTTGACTGTGCGATTTCAAACACTCACTATGTACTGAATTGCAATTTACCAGGGACTAACATAATTGAATTCGGACGGACAAAATTGAAGTTATGACTGACCCTAGTCTAGTCGAGCTTCAACTATGTGAGCGCAAAATTCAAATTTGCCTTATCACTGACAACAGGACCCTAAACACACCAATTCACTATCAGTATGAATCGCAATGTTGTAAAGCAGTCTCAGATGAAATTTGAGTCAGAAACGAGGTCAGACAAGGTTAGTAGAAGTCAAAGGTGAGAGGTAAGGGGAATCGGATGTGGTTGTCCCACAGTATGAATTTTGATTTTCAACTGTCAACCCACTGACAGACCATATTTCGCTATTCTAAAAATAGCCCCAGAATCGCCACACAGGGTAGAGTAAGGAACACACTTACCTCAGGATCAACTCTGAAGAAGATGAATGAAACTTGAGCTATGGCTGACTGGTCAACCCTATCTCGCCAGTTTCATCTCCTGTTCATTCTCAGTGTTCCCACGTATCAAATCTCCTGAAACTTGGTGATCCAGCAGTTTACCCTGAGGCGCTTCACCCCCAACAGACAGATTCAATGAATTTGAACTCTCGGGTGCAGATAACTGACAAACTCACTGCAGCGCCACATCACCATATACTTCGCTGCTTGGAAGTTGGGGATCCTGACCCAATTCCAAAATCGCAACCTCCTGGGATCACTCCTTTGCCAATCACCAGTCTATAGATGAATTGCCAGGCTAAAATTAGCCTCTTAGAGCCGCCCAGGCCTCTGAGCATCAATCACCAACCACTCCTGCACAACCCTAGGCAGGAGAGTGTCACCCTCTGCCCAATTCTTCTCGCCACACACTCACTACCACCACCCTTACTGACAACCACCCTGAAGATGATGAATCGCCATGAGACTCAACTCTAGTGTCTCGCCAGATGATGATGGTTGCTCCAACTCATCAATCGATCCAGAGTCTGGATCCAATCGCTCTGATACCAACTGTTATGATTCTGGTTGTTTGTTGTCTGAAGGCCAACACTCACTCACATAGACTTCCAAGTATGCCCATACATACACAGAAGGAAGGGGGGAGGATAGGAGTATCACACCTCACAGGGAGAGATAAACACAGCAGAAGACTTAACCATGCGATATGACAGGGTACACTGAAAGTGCAATTCACTCCACTCAATCCTCACAACCAGTCATAAGGAAGGCCGAGTAGATCACATCCAAGAACAATGAAGCAATGATAGTCCAAACCCAGTATCCACACTGTTTATTATACTCAGAGTCTCGAATTGTCAGAATAACCTCAGAACTATG